GTGATTTGCATCACTGTGATATATCACTGACCCACTGGGAAAACTCATTCGGGTCAGCGTGACTTCAGGTGTACACCAGATGCATCCGGCTGCTTGCGTCCTTAAATGAATCAGTCGAATTTATCTCAGGGCCACGAACGATAGGACTAGTCTCCCAGCGTTTGTACGTCTCTGTGATCATGTATTGTGTCTGCTCCAGCTGCTCGAGCAACGTCTGCTTAGCGTCACCGAACTCCACACGTCGTTTTAGCTGTTGAGCGTACTTGATCACAGTAGCTTTGTACTTCTCAATGTCCTTGTCTCGTCCACTGATAGCATTTTTGTACAGTTTGATCGCCTTCAACAGCTCCTTGTTCTCGCGAACTGCATTCATATACTGTTTGCGTGCATGCTCAGTCGAGCGCCGGCGTTCATGAACTTCTTCAATTAACAAACGATTGCTCTCTTCCAGATCGTGGTAGTCACGATCTGATACTTTGCAAAAACTCTTTTGCTTCTGCTTCAATGCCTTTAATTCGCTTGATGCCTGGGAAAGTGCCTTATGTGCTTCTGTAGCTTTCGTTTGTAGGTAAAGAATTTCCTTTTCAAGCAATTTCCGCTCATCTTCTCTCTCTGCACGCAGTTCTTCATACCGAAGAGACCAAGATTTCTCCAAATTTTGGTTCGCATCCTTCGCATGGACTGATGAGCGTTGAAAAACTTCTAACTTGCTTTGACTGATACATAGCTGAGATGATAATCGCTCAAGCTTGGAATTAATCAGCGACACGTGTTGTGTCCAGCGTGTATGCAGCGCTAAAGTCTTGGTCTTAAACTCTTCTTTAAACGATGAGATGATCGCATGCACCAAACTGACCATAGACTGGTGACGACCTTCCTTTATAACCTGACGACTAGTAAAGAGAGAGCACAACTCCACCTTGACGGAATCAAGCTCTCGCTGGGCCGACTCTTTATCATCTTTTGATGCAGAAGCCGCTCGTATAGCTTCCTCTGCGCGTCGCCGTTCGTCATCCAATTGTTGTAACAGAGAAATCTTTTCAGAAGCAAACTGCTGTTGCCATTGCTCTTGAGCTATTAAGCTTGTCGATGATTTAGCGGAAGCTGCATCTGCCAGCTGCTTTTCTAACTCCTGTACACGAGCTGCCCGTCGTGTCAACTCTTCGTTGCAGCCAGCAAGTTGATTCTGATACGCTTGCACTTGAGCAGATTGTATTTTGAGTTCCTGCTCGTATGCTAAAACATGTTCGCGCTGTTCTTGAGCATTTGCTGCTTCATTGGAGAACCTCTCCTCACTATCATGAACCTTTCGCTCCATGGTGTCAAGATCTGATTGAAAGTACGACAACTCCGACCGCAACCGTCGATTGTCCTCTTCTATAGCTTGGCGATCTTTTTCCAACACCCCAAGCCGAGCATCTAGAGTTTGCTGGCAACGAGATTCAGCCAACTCACAATGTTGTTGCATTCGACGAGCCTCAGTCTCCGCATATTCTAATCGACTTTCTAGTGTTTGAATGGTTAAGTCGTATTCCGTCTCTCGTTTACGAAACTGATGTAGCTCAGACTCTAGCAGATGTATTGAGTCCAAAGCTAATTCTTTATCAGCTTTATAACTCTCAAGTGATTTCGTTTGCTCCTCACATGATGCAGTTAGCTTAACATTCTGTAAACGCAATCGCTCGGAATCTCCAGCGAGCTGATGCTTTTCTTTCGTCATGCGATCTATCTCTGCCTGCAATCTCACTCGCTCCTGTTTGATGCTTTCTATCTCCATAACAAGTCGTTCCTTTTCAAAGTGAGCCTTTTCACGATCTGTCAAAAGTCTCGTATGTTCCGCACGATAGTTTTCACTCTCTCGCTGTAACTGCTCCATTTGATGTTGCACCTGTTGCTCCATTCTCTTCATTTTGGACTGATACCGAACATCCAGCGTTTGTTTCTCCTGTCTCAATGTCTCAACTTGCACTTGAAGCACCGTAGTCTGCTCTTCAAGCTGTTTACTCACAATTTTCCAATGCTCTGCTTCGGCAGCGATCTTGGCATTCGCTAACTCAACCTGATGCATATTTTGCTCTTCTCGCTGACTTCGCAGCTCGATTTCTCGATCTCTTCGCGAATTTGCATCCTGTAATTCTTGTAACTGAGTCGTAAGTGTTGCCACGACTTCATTCTGTCTCTGTAGCTCAAGCTCAAGATCCTGAATCTTCAATTGGCTCTGATTTTCATTGTAAAGCGCTCGATCGAGTTGTGCTCGTATCTTCTCAACTATCTCGGCGTCAGCGCCACGTCTCGCTTCCAGTTGAAAGTGCAACTGGGCTTCAGCTTCTTGCTGGGCTTCTTCTCTAGCTCGAGCAGCTGCTGCTTGGGCCTCATGAAGCTGTGCGTTAAGCATATCAATAGCTTCCGTAGCGCGAATCATACTAAAGTTACGCTGTCGAAGCTCATGATCACGTTCTTCTAATGTAATCCGCAGCTGTGCTAGCTCGCTCTCTAATTCCTCGCTACAAAAGTCTGTGCCTTGTTTCATACGCAGCAATCGTTCTTCCAAAAAGTTAATACGTAGCGCTTGATTAAAGTTGTCCATACGCAAACGCTCATGCTCTGCTTCCTGTTCACGCAGAAGCGTTGAGTGGTCATGAGTGGGTGTCATGGACATTCTGCCTCCGAAGTCGCTTTCGCGCGTTTGCTGTGGGGTCTGCATTGCAAAATGACTTTTGGTTATTCATACGTGAGGTTTCGCGCGCGAATTTTATTTCTTCCACATTTGGTTTCGCGCGCGAATTTCATTCTACCAGTTTCTATCACATTTGTGTGGACGGTGGGACCAAACTTTCTTTTTAGCCGGACTAATACAAGCCGGACTAAAAGTAGATGACATAAATTTATCAATATGTATACAATTGTATCACATACCGACGATTCGACCACAAATTAGTTACTAAATTGTATATTTTGCGGACCAAACATCTAAAAATTGCTTCAGTGTACTGAGAAAAGTATCTCAAATGGTAGAATTAAGTGATCAAGTTTTCCATTAAACAGCATACAGGACTAGAGGAATTTAGGATATCAGATTCACAAAAACAAAGGTATGGTGATTCTTTTGCTGAAAATCATAAAATGCAAGAGCATATCAATTTCGACTGTTACGTTAGCTCCTTTGATGTTTTATTTCTTAACATGACCAGAGAAGATATTGGTTCCGCGTCTTGGTAATGCCCTTTATGCCCGTCCTCTGTGGAATGTAAACGCGAACTGAAGCACCCCTGTGTGTGGTGCCACGATCACTTGGTAATGCCCTTTGAGCCCGTCCTCTGTGTAATTTTAACGCGGACTGAAGCACCCCTGAGTGTGGTGTCACGATCACTCTTTTGGTAAAAATTGCTGTCTATCCGACGACTTATCTCTGAATAGAACATTAGATGCTCACCTTTCTCGCCCTTGGTGAACAGAACATGCTAAATAAGCCTCATGATCATAAAGGATGCAGTCCCTTGCCAACTCCGGGTGTATGCGTCAAGAAATACGAGGAGTTATGCGATATCGGCAGAGTACAGGCAATCCATTCGTATTGGTTGTGTGAGTAAACGCATATTCAATCCGGTAGGCAAGCCTGGCTTTGATTTTTGAACACCATAGCATTATCATCACGAAAATGGTGTTGTTGATCGCAGCAGGACGAATATTTGTCAATCGTTAGCAAAGGCCACAGGGTTGATGAAGCTGGAAGTATTTTTACAAAGCCAAAATGAAGTTTATGCGAACGTTGTTCCAGGTGCTTGATACAGGTAGGACGTGTCCTTATAATGACGAATCGTACTGATTGCGTTGTGGAGGATGTTTCAAAGCACATGCACTGCACGAACGCGGTGCTGTAGTAACATACCCCTGCTCATAATGTCCAGAAAACTGTGCCTCTCAAAAGATCTATAGGCTAATTCAGCTCATGCCTCGCGTGATTTGTAGCATTGTTAGAATTCGTCTGAGCAGCCGAATAAAGCAGGACGAACTGATAGCGAGGAAAGTCGTTTAAGATTAGATATGGTCGCGCGATACGATTTTATCCCAGGTATAGCTAGGCTGGAATGCCCACGAGCACTGTTAGCCAACAACAAGACTTCGCTAACGTTTGATATCTAGTGAGTTATGATCCCACCTTTGCTAGCAAGCGGAGGCGCTTTTGAAGCGTGGACAAAACCTTAATTTTGTCCGGGATAGTTGGAAGAAATACTGCTTCTGGTTGTAAGCAAAGCCCAGAATGTAAGTTCCACAGTCTCTACGGATATCAATGGAGAAACATACATAAAGTCTTACGAAAACATATCTGTGTAAAAAGAATTCGACCGTATGGCGCGACCCCAAAAATAACCCTATTATAACAAAAATAAGATGTTTGGAGCCGCGGTCCTCAATCAAAACATCTTCAGAAGGCAGGTGACTGTAAGTCACGCGTAGTAGGGCCTGGTATCGATTTTATTAAGGAATAGTCACATAGAAGACTTAGCGGAGGCAGTAACACCGAGCGACGCGCCCGTCGAAGGAAGCTTCGGAGTCTTCCGGTTTTCGGCAAACAATTGTATACTCTCGTGGTTGGAGTTACTGTTGTAGTACCAGGCGATATTTACTGACTGAGGAAGAAACTATGGTAGTGCTTGGTGAGATATCATCAAGATGGTACCGATAAAACCAGAGGAGGAGAGGATGTGACTATCCAGATACGCTAACCACTGGAAACACACGGTAATTGCTGTGTACAATAGATTGAAAGACCACTTCCAGCAAATACACTATTTTATTTTTTTGGCGAACGAATATCATAATGTTTCTAAATTAATCCGCCACGAGTGAATATTCAGGATCATGACGTACATGACAAAGTGACCTGATTTTTAAATTCGAACATTGCGCAACACAATGATGGCTTCTACGAAAGGAAGAGTGCGATGTAATGGCATTTTCATGCAAAATATAAAGCAAAGTTGGTGACAATATACTTCCTCGATCGGCGCAGATTTTTATGTATAAGCAAACAGGAAGCGGTTAATTTTAAACTCTTTTATGCATAAAGCGCTCCTGACTCAGTAGGGAATAACTTATTCTGCACGCGAGTAGGTGTTATTTCCTCTTTACAACAACTACTGTATTTATGATGCTAGAGACTGGTTAATCATTCTGGAAGCGCTGTACAATGGATTTGAGGCATTTAATTGTTCACTCACACATCAGGTCACGCATATGAAGAGACCTTGTCGGCGATGCATTTGCTAATATACATGAGTAAAAGCCAGAAAGAAGAACATTGTTATACAATTATGTGTGTGATCAAGCACTGACGCTTTACTGAGCAGTTCACCGATGTATACAAATGTTTATGCGCTGACAATATATCTTATGGTTAGATTCGATTTTCCATCGCCCCTTTTTTAATAGAACTCACGAACGTAATCAGTACACTTGTGCAACCATATCAGAAATTTATAACACGGTATATGCTGCGATATTGAGCAGTGATACTTTTGGTACGCTCTAACTACATAGAGCTGCATTTGCATGCTTACTTTGTTAATGAGTATTCACTAAAATCTTGAGCCTTGTTGCAGTCGTGGTCATTACACTGATCAAGTATGCGATCATGATGACAAACGCATCACCAGCGA